TATATATATATATATATATATATATATATATATATATATATATATATATCAGGCAACCAATCTAGAATAGCCCTTGACTTACAACCATTTGTTTAATGACTATTCAATGTTACAAAAACTGCATTAAAACCAGTCCTTACGCTTTTGATCACTGCGCCATCTCTAGGATACATGACCAACATTTGGAACATTTGACGAAAGTTCAAATCCTTTTTGTGGTCCTAAGTTGAAGGCCTATCTCTTGGGTGTCAAATTTGCTATGTCACATGACTTTTGTGATGCTGGGGTGGGCGTGGCCTGTGTATGACGCATCCGGTCGACTTGGCCGCCAGTTTGACACCCCTGCCTATCTGTATAGCATCTAAATGCTGGCTTTAAACTACTACCCATCCCAGCTAGCATGACCAAGAGATACAGATGATGGGAACTTGGATTCCAACAATTTCTGAAAAGCTATGATTCCTGCCTCTGATATACATTACATTTGCACCGCAGAAGCCACCAAAAGATGTTGCTGCCTAAGCAATTTTCTACCAAAGAACATGTCAAGTGCAGATGGTACTGTTACCCAGGTGGGGTGAAGAGGGTAGATTTCTGAGTTATTCTTTTTCTTTGCATTCATATTGAAGAAATTTAGATCAGAACACCATCCCGAAGCCCTGCCCCAAAGGCTTCCTTATATTATTCACAGGCCACTCTTTTTTAAGTAGGTCATACAAATGCAAATAATTGCTTTTGGGGTTATGATTCACATACCTGTGATGCTGCCTTCTCAAAGCCATCTGGATTCAGAGACGGCATGATGTGGATGCGTGTACTGTGGATCAAATTAATGACAGTCTCGTTTCCCTTCTGATATTCATTGCACAAGTATTGAGCCAAAAAGATAAGAAGTTCTCTTCCAACAGCTTCATTTCCATGCATGTTGCCAACATATTTGAATTCTGGCTCTCCTAAAACATACAAGAAATGCAGGATCTCAAATGTGTAGAGATTTAAGAAATGCACAAAAAGCAAAAGCATGTCAAATCACAAACATTCTATAATTCCTTCGTTCAATAACCCAGAATCTCACTCCCTTTCCTATTTATATTAGGGAGGACAAAATTTAGGTTAACCTCCAGGGGTGGGTTTCTCGCCCCATTCCAACCGGTTCGGTTGGAACGGGGCCGGCGGCGTCCTCGCGCATGCATGCAGCACGTATGTGCACACACACGGCGCACACATGCGTACTAGCATCTGTGCGATGCTCCAGCTGCTCCTGGAGGATCGCGCAGGCGCTGTATGTGTCCTGCGC